AAACAAGTGTGGCCCTGTGCCCTGCGTAAAAAACAAAGCCACGGATGTAAAACCAAGCCTGGGGCTAGTCCCCGTGATGCCCGGTAAGAGAAGTATACCCGAAGATCCTTGTACAATTGTTCAAGGCATGTGACTGCAAAGCTGTCTTGAGTGCAGCCTCAGCCTGTTGCCACAAAATGAGGGAGATGAGGCGGCATTCATAGCGCCAGACCCGACCATGCATTGAAAAGTGAAAGGCATGGGTTTCTTCGAACCAGGACTCGAGCTGGAAATGTGTCTTTCCCCCAGGGCGTAGCTTGGTTTGGATCCAGGACAAAAGCCGTCTGACCCAAAGCGTCGCAAGCCAGTTGCAATTTTCTACGAAACGGCACAAGAAGAGCAGCCTTAGAACCAGTCCAGGCGCCCTCAGTTAGGCTGAGCAGCGAGCCACCAAGGACACAAACGATGGCGGCACATCCGCTAAGGTAGCCATCAAGAAAGTCGACGGAGATCATTGGGTCTTCCTACGCAGCCCCCAAGTCCGCAAGTCAAGGTGCCCAGAAGCCACGGTCGGCGCGCAGGCTTCAGCTTCTCAAAGGGCGTGGAAAGGATTAGATCCAGTTCTGCTTGCAACGTTGACAGCTAGGCAAGTCTTTGTTCTAGTTCTCTGGCTGCTGTAGTCCCACCATGGTTGTTTGACTTCAATGTGCTGAGCAAATCCTCTGAGTAAATAGGCTCACTTCTCTGCGGGATTGTTCCTTGGCCTCATGGCAAACATTAGCCGGCGTAAGCTAATGCTTGAGCATGGAGCACGCAAAGCCAACTCTGAAGATCTGATTCCCAGTCGGCCAGCCCAACACGCCCCTCCCCGAGTCGGCCAGCCCAACACGGTCAGCGCGCTTTGTCCGAAAATTGCTGACAAAATAACGTTGACGGTCTTCAGCCTAGCCTAGCACTCACCACGAGATGAGGCAGCCGAGCAGGCTGGCTGCAGCATGCGGTGCAAATACTGTCAACGATTCCGACGTCTTCCTTAGATTCAGCATGGTGGCACAGGCACGTGCGGCATGCCCTAGACCAAGTGTCACCTCATTTTCTGCAAAACATGCTCCACAATTCCAGCCACCCAGAGCATGTTCCAGAAGACAAGACCAGCGACCAACGATTGTGAACTTGACACTTGTCCTGCTGACTTTCTCGCTGTCTGTGCTCATCTCAAGCGTGTCTACGTACTTTTTGGCGATATGGTTGGGGTCTATTCAGCACAAGGCCGCCCGATATATCGGAAAAGATGGTGCCCAGCTCACCACGAGGTGTGCGGGCTCTGCGACAGGCAAGAATTTCCTTGGGACACCAGGTTGCACTCTCAAATCAACAGAAGAAAACAAAAACGCAGCTTCATGCCTGCACAAAAACAAACAAGCAAAAGTTTCAAATGAAAGTTCAAGGATTGGTGCAGTCAAGGTTCAAAGGCTGTCCTTAAGGCCTGAGCAGCCGTTCTCCTGCAGCTTAATCCATGCCGCAGTAAAGTCCTTGAAGTAGGCGTCCTGCACTTCTGACACAACTCGGTCCGAAATGCTCACATTTGAGGGTGCAGCTGTGCGGTTGCCTTTGAGTCGCTTTCACCATGTCACCTCCACAGGCTTGGGGTCACTTGGACTTTTGGAGTTGGTTGTCCTGATCCTTGGCGTAGGTCTCGACATGAGTCTTGAAAGCAGGGTCCTTGAGCAAAGCCAAATCCTGAGGGTGCAAATCACAAGTCCAACCAAGATGAAATCCGCCAAATAACCGTACGACCTTCCGACGCTATGACTATACCACACTGACCAACGCTCCATTGCAGGCATTCAGGAGAATACACGTGCTCACGCAATGCCCAATTTAGCCAGCTGGCGGAGATCAACATGATGGTGCCATTGCTGCCCTTGAACTGAGGGTTGCCCTTCTCCGTCGTCATCTCGGAGTACTCCTTCTCCATCATCTCCTGCAGCAGTCCCACTTTCAACCAGCTTTGATTGCAACAAACCTGGGCACTCATCCTGGGCAATGTCAAACTCAAACACGAGAATACAACATCACATCTACCAAGCTTGCCTGCACTAGCCTGCAAGAGCCTACAAGATCATTGCGTGAGCCTGCAAGAGCAAAGCTGCATCCATGAGCAGGCAAGAGGTAGCAAGACGTGACCTAAGAAATATTTCTTCAGTAGCAACGTTGCTTCTTCCAGCGGCAGTCCTTGAAGTAGGTATTGTCAAACTTGAGGGGCTCCTCGGTCCATGGGCCATCAAAGCCTGAGCGGTCTAGGTGGCACTTGCCCACGGTGTGCGCCCCAGAGAGGGCGACAATGTCCTTGTCTGTGAAGCCCTTGGGGTGGAAGATCTCCCGAAGGTGGTCGATGCCCTTGTCGCCATCCGGCAGTCGTCCAGCCTGCGACTCGACTGACTCGGAGGAGGATTCCGCATCCTTGCGGCCGAAGCGGGTCTTGATGTCAGGTCCGCCCATCATCCTGATGGCCACATTGGCAGCCAAAGTCCACAGGTCGGCATTCCCGATGACGCTGGGCACATACTTCTCAGTGATGGGCTTCAGCAATCCCAGGGCCACATCTGGCAGTCCTGCATTGGCTCCAAAGGTACCCTCACCCGCATCCGTAAATCGCATGGCCGCGTTGGGGCAGCCTCCCTTGAGTTCGCCATCGGAGAACACACCCGCATCGTGCCAGGAGAGCCGAACCAGGATTGGGCCGCAGTCCTTGCTCTTCACAAGCTCCTCCAAGTCTTTCACCAACGCGTCATAGCTCTCTCCTCCGCGGGCCTGCATGGACACGATGTTCCTGCGAGGCTTGGTGGAGCGCCGGCTGAGTGCAGCGCTGGCAAGCAGTCCCGCCCCAACAAGGCCGGTCACAGCTCCGCTGCCTGTGCCCATGGACGTGGCGCGGCTTGGGGCCGCAGCAGAGGATGAAACCGAGACTGTGGACCGGGTCTCTCGGGGGGCAGCCACCATGAAGGCCGATCCAGCGGCGGCTGTGGCAGCCAATGCCATGGCCTGAGCCACCTTGGACCCGGATCCGCGGGTCATTGCTCCGTGCGAGTCAAGATTTGCGAGGTCGCGCTACTCAGCAGGAAGCTTGAGCCCAAAGCCCGCAATGTGCTGGGCCTTCTCTATACGCAGCATATGCATATCAACCCGCCCTCACAAGCACTGCAACCAGTTGGCCAAATCTCTGGAACTGCCATCTGTGATTGACGCAGCCAAGGTTCAAAGGCTGTCCTTAAGGCCTGAGCAGCCGTTCTCCTGCAGCTTGATCCATGCCGCAGTAAAGTCCTTGAAGTACGCGTCCTGCACTTCTGACACAACTCGGTCCGAAATGCTCACATTTGAGGGTGCAACTGTGCGGTTGCCTTTGAGTCGCTTTCACCATGTCACCTCCACAGGTTTGGGGTGACTTGGACTTGGTTGTCCTGATCCTTGGCGTAGGTCTCGACATGAGTCTTGAAAGCAGGGTCCTTGAGCAAAGCCAAATCCTGAGGGTGCAAATCACAAGTCCAACCAAGATGAAATCCGCCAAATAACCGTACGACCTTCCGACGCTATGACTATATCACACTGACCAACGCTCCATTGCAGGCGTTCAGGAGAATACACGTGCTCACGCAATGCCCAATTTAGCCAGCTGGCGGAGATCAACATGATGGTGCCATTGCTGCCCTTGAACTGAGGGTTGCCCTTCTCCGTCGTCATCTCGGAGTACTCCTTCTCCATCATCTCCTGCAGCAGTCCCACTTTCAACCAGCTTTGATTGCAACAAACCTGGGCACTCATCCTGGGCAATGTCAAACTCAAACACGAGAATACAACATCACATCTACCAAGCTTGCCTGCACTAGCCTGCAAGAGCCTACAAGATCATTGCGTGAGCCTGCAAGAGCAAAGCTGCATCCATGAGCAGGCAAGAGGTAGCAAGACGTGACCTAAGACATATTTCTTCAGTAGCAACGTTGCTTCTTCCAGCGGCAGTCCTTGAAGTAGGTATTGTCAAACTTGAGGGGCTCCTCGGTCCATGGGCCATCAAAGCCTGAGCGGTCTAGGTGGCACTTGCCCACGGTGTGCGCCCCAGAGAGGGCGACAATGTCCTTGTCTGTGAAGCCCTTGGGGTGGAAGATCTCCCGAAGGTGGTCGATGCCCTTGTCGCCATCCGGCAGTCGTCCAGCCTGCGACTCGACTGACTCGGAGGAGGATTCCGCATCCTTGCGGCCGAAGCGGGTCTTGATGTCAGGTCCGCCCATCATCCTGATGGCCACATTGGCAGCCAAAGTCCACAGGTCGGCATTCCCGATGACGCTGGGCACATACTTCTCAGTGATGGGCTTCAGCAATCCCAGGGCCACATCTGGCAGTCCTGCATTGGCTCCAAAGGTACCCTCACCCGCATCCGTAAATCGCATGGCCGCGTTGGGGCAGCCTCCCTTGAGTTCGCCATCGGAGAACACACCCGCATCGTGCCAGGAGAGCCGAACCAGGATTGGGCCGCAGTCCTTGCTCTTCACAAGCTCCTCCAAGTCTTTCACCAACGCGTCATAGCTCTCTCCTCCGCGGGCCTGCATGGACACGATGTTCCTGCGAGGCTTGGTGGAGCGCCGGCTGAGTGCAGCGCTGGCAAGCAGTCCCGCCCCAACAAGGCCGGTCACAGCTCCGCTGCCTGTGCCCATGGACGTGGCGCGGCTTGGGGCCGCAGCAGAGGATGAAACCGAGACTGTGGACCGGGTCTCTCGGGGGGCAGCCACCATGAAGGCCGATCCAGCGGCGGCTGTGGCAGCCAATGCCATGGCCTGAGCCACCTTGGACCCGGATCCGCGGGTCATTGCTCCGTGCGAGTCAAGATTTGCGAGGTCGCGCTACTCAGCAGGAAGCTTGAGCCCAAAGCCCGCAATGTGCTTCGATGCAATCACCACCTAGCTGTGTGTCAAAACCTAAGGTGACGCAACTCTCTCCGCAACCCGAAGGTGCACTGCTCGTCACGCCTCCAGCTCAACAGTGCCCTCAAAGTCTACATCCTGCGTTGAGCAAATGCGGATGTGATTTTTTGAATGGACCCCCCAAATCAATCGTGGTGTTCCTATTTGGTTTTCTTTTCAAACCACCAAGAAAGGGGTACCCTCTCAAGAAAAAGACACTCCGGCACTCTTGCGGAAACAAACCAGAATCCGAGAAAGTAAGTTTGCATGTTTGGCTCTTGGTTTTTCTGGCTTTGCTGGCTTTGCTGGTTTTGCTGGTTTTGCTGGTTTTGCTGGTTGGGTGCCCTTGTTCTTGCTTGTTTTCGCTGGGTTGGTTTCTGTTCTTTGTGTTGGTTTGTGCTTTCTTAGTTTGTTTGGTGTTGCTTTTCTCGGTTTGTTTTTTCGTGCTATTTGTTCACACCTCGCAAACCTCGGGGCACAGAAGTCTGACTGGATGCATCGAATTGGATCTGTAGCACCTCAAATGTTGGGCTCAAATCTTGGCATTGGCATTTGGCATGGGATCGGGAAGAACCCCGGCATTCTCCTTCACGTGTGCTCCGTTGTTCCCCCGCAGCAGCTCCAGCCTGAGCCCAAATGGCCAAAGCCATCTGAACACAAATGCCACCTCCCTACCTCTTGACTTTTTCTGCAGTGAGCCCTCGAAAGTCCCGACTCTTTCGAAACAAACACCTGCTAGTCTTTCCAAAACGTTGGAAAGCTCCATGCACTGGCGTCCGCCTTGATGGAAGTGAAAAAAAAGAAAACTTTAGACCTGGTAGCCGAAGCCATAAATAACATGTCTGCATGTCTGTATGTGGGATCTCTGCGCGGCTGAGCTACATTCCTTTGTCCAATGGAAATGCAGGTCTCCGCTTGCCCGGCACCGCGGCTGATTTAGAGCTGTTTGGAACCATACCCTATGATATTTTAGTCTGGAAGATGATACTGGTCTACACTCCTAACATCACCCTCCTTCAAGTGAAGAAGATTGTCTGGTGAGATTTAGCGACGTGCAAGCTAGCCAGGAAAAATCTGAGAGGGCAGCTGGATTTGACCGCCAAAGCAAATGCTCTCAGCTCACGGGTTCCCCGATGGGTCTTGTGGCTAGTGTTGCTTGCATCGCATCAAAGTGTCTACAGCCGGAGGCAGAAAAGCTGTTTTTCTTTGCGCGATGCGGATGCTTTGTGCGACACGGTTTGTTTGCTTTGCAACGGCTATCCGTATCCTGACGTTTTTGTTTTTTTTGTTTTTGTTTTTTCCTTTTTTAACGAGGATCACGTCACGGGAATGTGGGAGACCACGAGAAGACTACAGCAAGGCGACACAGGAAGTATGACGAAACTACAGGAAGACTGGGAATTGGGGTGACTTTATGCTGTGAGCAGGTGCCTCTGACTCCGGGCAGCGGAAAAACACGTTCTTAAGACCAGGCTTGTGGCAAGGCTGCAGAAAGACCCCGGGAAAACTCCGGCAAAACTGTGGTCCCATATCGAAACTGCCGGAAGACTGCGGGAAGACTGCAGAAAAAGAACAGGAAAACTGCGGGAGAATGGTGGAAAGACTGCGGAACAAATGCGAGAGACCGAGGAAATCTGGCAGAAAGGCTGTGGGCCGAAGGACTTTTGCTGCTTGCCGTCCTTCTGCAGTCTTCCCGCAGTCGTCCGCAAGACCAAAAACCAGCCCAAAGAATATGTGAAGACTGCGGAAAGAATAAGATGCCCATGCCATCCACCTCTCAAGTGGGCAAAAACATGCTGGAAATCGCAGTCGAATCAACAAGATGTTCATGCCATCCACTGGAAACGTTGTGCAAACAGAGATGAGACATTGAGAGGCTGCAAGGGGGGACGTGCACGAGCTCATCGGCACCCAAATGCACCTTTCGCTTCGCGGACTGAGTCGATGGCTGTCTCTGTGTCGATGGCTGTCTCTTTGCTCTTGCCAGCGCAGCTTGCGAGGCCCTTGAACTAGAGGTTCTTTTGCTTCACGCTGGGACTCGTGTTGAGTCCCCAAATATGCCAAGCATCGAAAGTCCTAGGATTCCGGCAGGCACTCGCAAGAGAGAGATGCCAAAGAGACGGACGCCCGACCTGGCGCAACATGCGAACTTCAGGTCACGCAAGAAACAGATTTGGAATGGCAGCTATCAATCCAGAAAAGCAGTTTCTGTTGAAAAGCTTGCCGTCGACTTGTGTCCTGCTCCAAGAACCGATGTGCTTCAAAATGGAAACAATTGTGGGAGAGATCTTCGACTTCAATCAGCTTTCTCTGAACAGCAAATCGACGAAAAGAGACACGCTTCTAAATCGTGCATCTGCGGGCTTTTTGGCAGGCAATGGCCAAGACACCACAAATTGACGTTTGAGCTGTGTGATTGACTCTGCTCTCCTCCTCTGTCTCTTTCTCTTTCTATTTCTCTTTCTCTTTGTCTTTCTCCCTCTCTCTCTCTCTCTCTCTCTCTCTATCTGTCTCTTTCTCTGTGCCGCTTGCTCTCATTCCCGATCTATAGAACGAGATGGAATCCAGATGTGCGAAGCCGGCCAGCGCCCATCTATTGTTTGCCATATCAACCACCCCTCATGAAATCGCTGTCCGTTCTCCTTCAAATTTTGGATCTCCATCCTCCCAAAACGGGTTTCCCGCCCCAAGCCGCCACCCCCCGCGACTTCCCCAAACAACTCACGGCCGGGGCCGTTGCGGAGCAGCTCCTGGGCCGGTCGCCACGTTTCACGGGCACCGCTCTGCGCAACTCGCAGCCTGCCTCATCCTCGGTGAGCCGCAGCTCTTCCAACCGAAGCCTCGGCGCTTCGACCGCAAGAAGCGCCCGGAACTCGGTGCTTGCTATGGACTTATCGGTAGTGCGGGCAAAACCAGGATAGCACTAATTGGAGGGGCTGACTGGCATCGTGGTGGCACCGGAAATGAGTTTCCCAAGACCAGCTCTAAGGGTTGGTGTGTTGTCTTTGGCAATCGCATTGGAGTTATGAGGACTGAAATGCCGTGATTTAGTGGTCCTTCTGAAATGGCCCGCGACCTGCTTGCAGCTTGAGCTCACAAAGGTCCCCATCTGCCCAAGCCAAATTCTGACACCGCCCAAGCTGCAACCAAGCTGCGGAGTCTGCTTGCCAAGCGGGCTTCTCGCCATCCAAAGGCTGGAATGGAAAAAACCCAAAGCAAAGAGTTGAAGGCGAGAGTTGATTTATTGGCTGATCCCTTTCGAGTATCGCCGCTTCTGTAGCACTGGACGGCTTCTCTCAAAAAACACCTGGTCCGGGCCAGGTCTTTCGAATAGATCTTCTTGTTCTCTCTGTCGACCCGCAAACATGCACTCTGCAGCCGGTCGCGGCGCAGGAGCTAATCCTAGGACTCCTGAAGATCACCAAGGTTCAAGGCTAGAACTGGACAGGCCAAAAAATCCGGAGAATCATCGGCGCATAAGTAATGGCTTGAAATGCAGCCCCGTGTGTGGGTTGATGTAATACATGTTCGGCCACCTTGACAAACAGCCAAGTGAGCCCAGCCCTGGAAACAATTGCGTCTCGAGATGCACTGAAAATGAATTGCATCCACCCAATAGCTGAGTGTGGAGAATTCTTGTGTGAGGCTTACGGAACTTCATGGCCTGTGAGCCCAAAGACCCGACTTTGATATGGTAGGAGAACCTAAATTGAGTGTTCGGGGCGGCGGTAGGGGGTCCATTGAAAACAGTCATGAATCGGGAATTCTTGCAGAAATGTTCAAATGTCAACATTAGCCGAGTGCAATCACAAGCTACGCACAAAGGAGGTTATGTTCTAGTCTCGTGAACACTCATGCATACACGCCTGCGCTTGAGTCCTTTCATGTCAATCGACGATTTGCCTCGCGGCATTGCATTATCACAGGGTGAAAGCCATCGCCAGACTCACTGGCCAGCTCCTTTCCGCGCTCACTGCCTCGCCGGCCGAGGTCAAACTTCTCAAGCGCCAAGCTCGTCGGCGTGTTTGTCCATCTCGTGCTCCAGCTCTGCCTCCTCCTTCGTGGCCTCCGCCTGGTTGGCGGCCTCCTTCTCCGCCTCCTTGGTGAGCTTCCCGGCCAACTGGGGCGGCCGGGCTCTGGGGATGTTCATCTCCCCGTTGATCTTGCTGATCCACTTCTCAGCACCTGAGTCGTAGTCAAAACCCGGTAATAAAATGGTCGCAACCCCAGAACCATGTGAATGACGAAGGCAGCCGCAGCTATGTATGGTTGGGGTTGTCCCTGACTAACCTTCATCTACCCGGGTTTTGATTGTGGCTCACCTGGCAGTGAAAAGGCCAATCCTTTTTGGTCCGGCTTGAGGCACATGGTGCTTGACTACGGTCAAACGGCGCAAAAAAAAACGCTGGCTAGCCTACCTTACTTCCCTCACCTTACCCTACCATACCTACCCTAACCTACGTAACCTATCAGCTGCCTCCCCACGAACTCCAAGGCTTTTTGAAGGTACCCGTTTTGAGGTTCAGGCAAAACCAAAAGGAAAAGCAAAAGCTCGCCATTTTGGGGGATCCCAAAAAGAGGGAGACACCCAAATGTTACCTTATGTTTATAGGTCCCCCATGGGCCTTGCCCTCTGAGACACACCACCCGCTTTGGCCCCCCGCAGGTCTCCGCGCAAATCTCCCCGCGGCTGTCGTCTTCCTCGTTCCAGTCCTTCTCCTTCTCCTCACCCTGACCCGAGAAAATGCGGTAGCCACAGGTGAGTAGCCCCGAAAAGGAAGGGGGGCAGAAAAAAAAAGGATATCAGAGGGGGCACCAACGGGAGCTCTGAAGCAACTGCTCGGATCACTCCCCAGCCTCTTTGTGCTGCTCTTTGTACTTCAACGGCCAGCTGATTGACCCAGGCTTGCAGTCTTAGCACGCTCAAACCACTTACTTGCCATCAACACATCAGTTCTCATCAAAGCCATGTCTTTGCTGCTTTATCTTTTATGCTCAGGAAACCCTCGAATCCATGGACAAGCCAAACAATTGCGCAGAGTAGAATCGCAGCGCCTCCCAACAATATCACACCAATCATAGCCTCTGCGGGCCACACGACTGATGCATGCCATCTCTTCTATCTAACCCATTGAGCTTGCTCCCTTGAAGGCCTGAGAGTTAAAGTGGACAACCAAATGGTCTCAAGGTTAAACAGAATAAAGTTCTAATATGGCCGACGCGTGTGTGTGATTCTCTGTGATGCATATTGCACGTTAGGGTGGCTCGACTTCTGAGCGATTTGGTTGGCCGTTGGCGAAGCATTGGCAAACTTCAGACAACCGAGGCAAGTAGGGACAAGCAAATCTGAGCACCTCGCCAAAACACTACGCAACTTCCAGAAAGCACGCTCACACTGCTCAATCTTCGGAAATCACGTGAATTGTCAATAGATCGTGCACTTCAGAAACCATGGGGAAAAGGTTTGTTCAAAGCCAAGCGAATCTCAACGGCAGCTGTTGTCCATTGTGCGTTTGTGCGCACGCTTGCGGCCACGGCTATGCAAGACAGAAGCGAATTGCACCCACAGCCAGCAGCCACTTGCAAGCGAGCTTCTCACATCAACCTCTGAACAGTCCTTGATACCTCCGTTGTCTTTGCAATGCTGGCAGCTTCCGTCTTGCGACCAAATCGCTTCACCTGAGCCGAACTGTCTCAGGTCGCTCCGATCGGATTTGGGGGTCTGGACATACCGGGGATAAGCAAAAAAAAAGGAAAAGGAGCCACTGCTCTTGGCGCGCCGTTCATACAAAGGCAGCATCTCGCCACTTCCGTTTTCCTGGTCTTGGAGCCTGGGCAGGGGAGCACGGTGCAGCTAGCTCAGAGCGCAGTGAGCTGCTCCAGCGCTCGCTACGTCCAAACTGAGCCACAGACATTCTGGATTGATCTCATCCTGCCCGGAGAGATGTATCAATTTACTGGCTGTCCTTGGATCCCTTCCAAAAGTTAATAACTGTTAGCGGGTTGAATAGAAATTCCCCCTAAACCCTACAAGCCTAAAAAACCGAAGGCTTGATCTGTGGCTTATTCGTTCTTTTAGTCTACATGCATCTCCGCGCCTGTTCCTTGGGCGCCTCGTCTTTGGCCTCATCCAACTCTTCCTCGTCCTTGGCCGCCTCCTCCACCTCTTTGGTCTCGTCCAGGGCGGTCCTCACTCCGCCTGCGACCAAGACGAGCAAACAAACCTGGCCGGGTTCAGTCGGCCATCCAGCCTCGCGAGGAATGCGCCTCAACATGGCGGGTGAAGCAAGCACCCAGCTTAGGGCCCTCGTGCTTTTTTTGTCTCGCATCACATCTACAATAACTCACCCACAGACCCCTAGGAAGCAAACATCCACCTTTGAAGCTGAGCAAAGATGGGGTGAGCCCTTCCGTACTCTGGAGCCTTCGTGCAAGTTGTGGAGGAGCTGGTCATATTCAGCCATGGGTCCTGCAAAAATGTGCTGGAACATCTGCTCTTTACCACTTACCATGTCCCACCTTGTTGCCGCCCGTCGATGTCGAATGCTACCACCACGACAAGGCAGAGTTTGCAACCAATCCATCCGCGCAGCTTTTGAAACCCAACCACCGAGTTTCCGTTCTTGAAGGCTGAGCCAATTTGTCCTGGCTTTCGGCTCCCCACAGAAAGTTCGTAGAGCTCTGCTTTCTGAAAGGAGCGAGCCTCCAAATCTGGGCCTCAAACCATTTTGTAGAAAGAGCTGCTGCACAGCATAGGTAACTGAGAGCCCAGCATGAGCATCACCCTGGAGTAGGACATCATATCCTGATCCACGCCATTCGCACGCCTGCGCCAGAAAGTTCATATTGATTCATGGATCGCAAGAGACATCAAACCAGAAAACCGGCTCACTCCAGCCAGGTCTGGATACACGCCTTCGCGCCAGGTGCCACCTCCCAAGGATGTCCACAGCGCATGGAGCAGGCTTAAGCCCTCGGGCGGATGGTACTGGGGTACTGGGGCGAGGCTGTGCATGTGAGATCCATTTTGGGAGGATTAGGCGACGTTAACTTGGCTGGGACAGCTGTGGCTGAAGAGAAGATTTTGATCTTGGCTGTTGAAAAGAATGGCGGCGTGTGGCTCTGCGCGACGCGCAAGGGGCAAGGGCGTAGCCTTCGAAGCGAATGCGGCTTGATGTGGCTTGCCATGACAACTAAGCTCTTGGAAATGCGGCTTTTTCATCCTGCTGCACACATCTCCGTGCCTGGCCGTGCCAGGTTCGACATCCTTCGCGCAGCTTCAAAGCGATCCGAGCCATTCGAGCGCCAGTCGCCAGTCGGGCTTCGACAGGCCCTTCTTCAGGCCCTTGAAGCCATCCGGACGGCCGCTCAGCCCTGGCTTTCCTCCACCAGGTGGTTGACGATGGACTCGGACGTCGCAACAGGGTTGACTGGGCCCCATGACATTCCCAACATGTCCCCCCCAAAAAAAACGGCAAGGCAAACCTATGGCATGGGATCCGTCTAGGCCGTGGCATCAGACAAGCAAGCACCAAATGCCGCGGAAGAACTGCCACGTTGGGGAAGTCGAAGACGAGAGATGGCGACAGCGTCATCTGGAACTCCTTGGACACCTGCCAGCCAAAAGTCGTTCAAAGGAGATCAACTGCCAACGGCAGCATATCGCTGCCGTGTTTTCGGGGAACCTTTTCAGTTGCTTCAAAAGAAGGCCACATCGAAACCACTCACTTTGGGAGTTCCCTCAGTAGTAGTGGCCTAATCTAGGGAGCCCTGATTGCTCAAGAAGGCCTCCGTGACGAGCTGCACTGATGACAAGCCTTGGCCAGAATGCCACGGAAGGCAGCAAGACATAGCGCTGAAGCGCGAGACGTTTTTGCGGATCTTGCAAGCAGTCTGTTCGCATGCAGGTGGCATCAACTTGTTTTCTTTGTGGATGTTGTTGCTGGCATGCATTCATGAAGCGTGATTGCAATCACGTGTTTTCTCCCTTTGTTTTCTCGATTGATCTCAGGCCTTCCTATTTTAGGACAAGCCTGTCCCACCCTACCCACAGGAAAAACACTCATGCCATGCCACCATCTGTCTTTTCAAGCTACGGGCTAAAAGACAGAGAGAGACAACCACGTCTGAAAATAAGGGGCTATCTGCTTGCAAACAGCTTACATTGTGTGAGGCGACTGCTCAGTGGCATCCTGAGGCTGCCACTGTCCATACCAGCTTC